GTGCCCCATCACTGAGATACATCCTCTTAAAAATTAATTTGTTTAAGTTGGGTGTAGTAGTAGACACTCTTAATCCCAGGACTCTGGAGGCAAAGGCAGGTGAATCTTGGTGAATTCAAGGCCAGCCTGGTCTACATAGGGAGTTCTGTGACATTGAGAGCTACATAGTGAAACTATGTCTCAAAAAAGCTGTGTTGGTGATGAAGTTAGGCTTTAGGCGTGCACTGCCTGACCTACGCTTTGTAAACACTTATCTCACTAAGCCACACTCTCAATTCTGAAGAAAGTGAAGCATAGTCGAAAGGTCCCATATCTGCATCTTCTGCTATAGGCATCTGCTCCCTGCTACTGTTGAAAATGTCTCACAGGGACTCTGACCCTCTGTCCAGTGCTTTTTTATTAGCTTCATGTGTATCTGCAATTCTTTCTGTTTAGAAGGTATTAATTTGTACAAAGTATGTACCTGTATGTCTCTGTTTATGAGATATGATAACCTTATACTCCATATGCATATAAGTAAGGGTGACCTTAAATTCCAAGTTAAAAAAAATTAAATCTTATCTATCCATCTATCTATCCATCCATCCATCATCTTTCCATTTATTATTTACATGTAGGGTCTCACTGGCCTATAACTCCATAAGTAGTGGAGGATGACCCTGAGGTCTTCCTGCCTCTACCTTTATCTAAGTGGCTATCCAGTGTTCAGGCCTAAATGCAACATCCATGTCAATCCTCACCATCCCAAGGCTCAGGGAACACAATGGAAGAAAGGGTGGAAGGAAGTTAAGAGCCAGAGGATTGTCAGGACTGCTGTGAAATGCCACTGTCTTACATTGTACTGATGAACTCGCTGAAGGTAGCCCATCCTGATCTTTCTGTGTTAGTTGCTTGGAGTCACACACCCCTGTTAATAAGATGTTGAGCCTCTGACCTCTTGGCTCCAACAAACAAACAAACAAACAAACAAACAAACATAAAAACAGACAAAACAAACAAACAAAAACACTCAAACACAACCTCTTGAGCTAGTAGAGGTGGTTTTACCACTACCATACACATCTGACTTCCAGACCAGTTTGCTTTCTGCAGGAAAAGCAAGTAATGTGCTAAAATCCTCCTCCCCTTCCCCCGAAAGGGGCCCTGTGTCATGCATATCAAAAGATCTTTAGGCTCCAAGTTCTCCTTAATCTCAGCATGTGAGACTTTCTACCAATGAGTAATGGGGTAGGCTGAGGACAGGCAGGGAGTGTGGTGTGGAATCTGACAGGTTTAGCAACTTGGTTTTTTTCCTGCAAACCAGAACTTGGAACACTTTTGCCTCACTGCTGTCTGTTCACTGTTAAAATATATTTCTAGTTAGTAACTACCATGTTCTGAAGGAAGCCAAGTATGCCCAAGAAAAGTGAAGTTGCTTTACTCTTGCCCTAGACTGTATCTTTCCTTTCCTCCTGACCAGTACTTCTGTTCACACTTTTTGGGACTTTTACTTTTCTGGAGCTGTTTTGCAGCTATAATATTTTGTGTATATGTAATCACATATGTGAATTTTATTTGCTCTTTTGCAACAGGCTCTCATATAGTACAGGCTACCTCTAACCTGCTCCTACCTCCCAAGAACTGGGATTAGAGGCTTGTGCTATCATGCCCAGCTGCACATGAATATTTATTCTTAAAAAAAGGAGGTGGGGTGGAAAAATGGCTTAGCAGTTAAGAACACTTGCTGTTCTTGCAGAGGATGTGGGTTTGGTTCCCAGCACCCACATGGCAACTCAAAACCATCTTTAATTCCAGTTTCAGGGAATCCAGTGGTTTCAGGGAATCCAGTGCTTTCTTCTGACCTCCAAGGATACTGGGCATATCCATGGTACAGGGATGTGATGATTTGTATATGCTCGGCCCAGGGAGTGGTACTATTTGGAGGTGTGGCCTTGTTGGAGTAGTGTGTTGCTGTGGGTGTGTGCCTTTAATACCCTTGTGCTAGCTGCCTGGAAGTCAATCTTCACTAACAGTCTTCGGATGAAGATACAGAACACCCAACTCTGCCTGCACCACGCCTGCCTAGATGCTGCCATGCTCCCACCTTGATGATAATGGACTGAACCTCTGAACCTGTAAGCCCCAATTAAATGTTGTCCTTAATAAGACTTGCCTTGGTCATGGTGTCTGTCCACAGCAGTAAAACCCTAACTAAGACAATGGACATGCATTCTAGATAAATGTTTACACACATAAAATAAATCTAAAGAAAAAAATGAGTAGGATAGAGTTCAACAGATCTCTGTGAGTTTGAGGTCAGCCTGGTCTACCTAGTGTAAAACACAAAATGAAAAGTCCAAGGGAGTGGGGATATGGTCCATTGTTTTGTGCCTTCCTTTTTCCACTTAAGCTATGATTTGGAGATAAATTTGGTAAGTATCTTTTCCCTTTTATATAAAGATTTATTCTTAATTTTTTTGAATATGAGTGTTTTGCCTGCATCTATGTGCATATACCTCTTGTGTGCTTGGTGCCTACAGAGGCCAGAGGAAGACACTGGATTCCTTGGAACTGGAGTTACAGATGGTTGTGAGTCACTATGTGAGTGCCAGGTCCTCTGCAAAAGCAGCAAGTGCTCTTAACTGCTGAGCATTTCTTCAGCTTTAAGAGTCTTTCTTTTATAATGAACAGTTAATACAGTCCTATATCTGTGGCCCAAATCATTCACTCTCAGCTTTCCCTTTACCTCTTCTCACAGAGCCTTCTTTGATTGATAGTAATCCTGTTCTATGTTGATGTAACCCGTTACTAGATATGAGAAACCACTTTTTGAATTGTTGGTCAGGGTAGCCCAAGAGAATCCTGAAACAATACAAGCTATTGCCATTGCCCTTGGTTGCCAGAGGTTGAGGCTAAATATCTATTGCTGAAGACACCATGCAGTTTAAACAGTGGATCCAGAGCTGGATCTGCCCTGAAAACCTCCTCCCTGAGGACTAACTGTCATAGAACCAAAAGGTGCTATGCAGAGTACCAATAGAAGGAAACAACCAACAGTCCTAAGAACTACAGCAACCACCGGCATAGTCGGAGATCCCCAAAGGCACAATAGTGGCACTTATACTTTGGTTGTAACCAGAAGATGTCTAATTGGATTTAAAGCTCACTTAGCAGGGGGAAAAATCATGCCTGGTATTGGAAGCCTAGTCGACTAGCTAGGGCTAGTGAGGTTATGGATCTTAGAGAAGAACCTACCACTGTTACTCTATTAAACCAGCATAACTGCTAGTTGCATTATAAATAACTGTATAACCACAGCTTACCAAACCTCACCAAAGAAGCTTCTCTTTGCAACAGACAGTGACCATTCCAGAAAACTGCGAGTGGTCAGGATACAGAGAAGACCGTGGGCGCATAGCCCCAGTGGATACATCTACAACACAACTACTCCCCCAAAGCTCAGGGAACATTTCTGAAGGAGAGGGTCAAAAAGATTTCAAAAGACCGGGTGGTGGTGGCACACGCCTTTAATCCCAGCACTTGGGAGGCAGAGGCAGGCGGATTTCTGAGTGCGAGGCCAGCCTGGTCTACAGAGTGAGTTCCAGGACAGCCTGGGCTATACAGAGAAACCCTGTCTCGGAAAAAAAAAGATTTTGAAAGCCAGAGAAGCAGGAAATGTGCTATGAGATTGGGTCTCCTAGAAACTAGAGGGAAGATTCACCTATGATAACGTAACTGTATGGCTGCCTAAACAAAAGCTGAACAAGGGGAACACCAATAGACGAGCTAATGTGGAAAAGGGAAAACTCATGGTGCCCCACCCCTAGAAAAAGAACTACAGGCAACTAAAGGATTCTGAGATAGAGACGTGTGTGTGTGTGTATGTGAGAGAGAGACTTTCTCTGTGGGAGCCCCCTAAGTTAGTTATCCAATGCCAAGTGGCCAGCCTTGAAATCACATACATACAACACTAAACAACTCAGCATGTTGTATCTGTATATTTATGTGTGTACACCCCCACATACACCCTCACACACAGGATTTTTGGAGAGAGTGTTGTGGGGGTGGGAGGTGAGGGGTGCATAGGCAGACTGGAAGGAAGAAAAAGGAATGGGGAAAAAGGATGTAATTTCATTTTAATAATAAAAGGCCAGATGTGGTGGTAGATGTCTTTAAATACAGAACTATGGAGGGCAGAAGCAGGTAGGTCTCTGTGAGTTCAGGGCCAACCTGATCTACATAGTGAGTTTCAGTTCTATCTAGGACTACATAATGAGACACTGTCTCAAGAAAAAAAAAGAAAAAGCTGGTTATGGTGGGTCTTGCTCATAGGAAATGTTTAAGAGGTGGAGGAGTCTCAGTACTGAAAACATACATACAAGTTACATTATACAAACTGAATATATTTAAAAATTTATATCTTTATATGTATAAATATATGCATGCAATAGCAGTGGATAGAGAGGCCATGAATTTGAAGAGGAGTTGGGGAGGGGTATATAGAAGGCTTTGAAGAAAGGAAAGGGAAGGGAGAAATCTTGTAATTATATTATAATCTCAAAAAAAAAAAAAGCGGAGGCAGGATGATCACGAGTTCAAAGACAGCCTAGGCTTTATATTTGGGGCTGGAGAGAAGACTCAGTCGATAAGAACACTTGTGGTTCTTCCTTGCACCTACAAGTGACCTTACAACCATCTGTAACTCCAGTCCCAGGTGATCTGACACTCTCTTCTGATTTTCTTGGACACCATGCATGCGTGCAGTGCACAGACATACATACAAGCAAAATACATTTAAAAAAAATGTGCGAAGTTAGTACCACTGCCTGATTTGGTGTCACTATTTACACGTGTCGTAAAGTGCTCTGGATCTATACCAAGGTAGCGGCAATTTACACAGATTCAATGTGTGAGAATGGACAGAACCCAGCTCAGCCTGACACAGAGAACTACGAATCCCAGTGGGCTGTGCGCGACGCCCGCGGTCGGGCTGACGCACGGGGGCGTGGCGACCGAGGGCGGGGTCGCGCTGCGGGGTGCTGGCCCAGCGGCCACAGAGTCTGGACTGAGGGATCGTGGGGTACTCGCTGAGAGAGGGCCGCGCGACAGCGCCCTGCGATGGAGCGGGCGAAGATGGCGGAGGAGAGCCTGGAGACTGCGGCGGAGCACGAGCGGATCCTGAGGGAGATCGAGAGCACAGACACGGCCTGCATCGGGCCCACGCTCAGGTACTGGGGCGGGGCGGGGTCGCCTGGAGCAGGCGGAGCGCGGCTGCTAGCTGTGGGGAGAGTCGCGAGTGTCCCGCGTCCTGGGCGAGGCCCTGCTGGGGAGCTTCTCTGAGGAGAGAGGGTGAGGCGCGGCTCTACTGGGCCGCCGCTCCCTTTGGTTAGCAGCTCAGTCAGGAGCAAGCGCCCGCTCTGCGCGCGGTGGAACTGCCCATCACAGGTCCTCTGAGAGCGTCCCGGTTTTCTCGGTCCTGGAGGAAGTGTCCTCCCACCTTCCCTTGCCTGAGAGCCCAGTTCGTGAGGAAGACCCAGTCCAGGTGTAGCCTCGGGACCTTGCCACCGCCTGGACATGCTCTTTGCTGCGTCCCCTGACACCTTCTCCGAGAGCTTCTACCTGCATTGCCTGTGGAGATGTCACAACATACCCGGCTCTTCTCGGCTTAATTACCTTGCACTTGTTACACAGAGCGCGAGGCATTGTGTGAATTAAAGTGCAAATATATCTATAGAAGCCGCTGAGCAATCCTACCGCTGGGGTACAGTTACTGTTCCCCTGTATCAGATGAGGCACCGGGAAGAGGAGTGACTTGTCCAAGGTCGCAGAGGAAGGGAAATGGGTTTCTAGTTCCCAGCTCAGGCACTCTGCACTGGACACCCTGCCTTTCCGTCTTTTTACATTTTTTTGTGGTGGTGTGGATGGAACACAGTGTCTTGCGGTGTGCCAGGCAAGCCCTCTTCAGCTGAACTGTGCACAGCCCACAGATTCTTCGCTACTTTTGTTCTGCTTTAGTTGGGGATTACCATCTGCTGTACTTCCTGTTGAAAATTATTCACCAAGCCCAATTTTGAACCCCCCCCCTCCAGTTTCCTGGTGTCCTAGAACTAGTTCCTCCGGTCCTTTCCTGTGCTACTTTCTGGTCTCTGTTGAGTACATGAGTTGAAAATCATCTTTACCCCTCCTTGTACAATATTGGATCAGTGCGCCTCCCAACATAGCGCATCACTAATCAGTTTTTTGTGGGGTGAGTTGTCCCAGTCAAGAGTGACTGAAGGCTGGGAACTTTCACTTTTAGCTTCACTTGCACAGTTTTCTTCTCTAGGCTCCATTATTTGTGCCAAGCAAGTTTTCTCAGTAGTTTGTCTACCTCCTCACCCCCCCCCCCCCCCGTTCTGTTAAGGATTGAACCCAGGGCCTTGGAATGCCACACAATGCTTTACCACTGAGTTGGACCCCATTCCCTAACCCCCCTCAAGGTGATTTTTAGCTCCTTTTTTTTTGGTTTTTCGAGACAGGGTTTCTCTGTATAGCCCGGGCTGTCCTGGAACTCACTCTGTAGACCAGGCTGGCCTCGAACTCAGAAATCTGCTTGCCTCTGCCTCCCAAGTGCTGGGATTAAAGGCGTGCGCCACCACCGCCCGGCCTAGCTGCCATTTTTTTTATCGTGCCAGTTCTTTCACAGAATTGCTTCCTTCTCTGTATCACTATCAGGCCCGTGATCTTGGTCATGTTCCTCTCATTTACGATTTTCTTGTGTGAAGGCTAGTGATTTACATTTCATAGTCCTTTATAAGAGCCCAGTGTCACTCACTAATAGTCTCCTAAATAAATATTCTCCTAAATATGTTATTAGTGGCTATTACTATTTGGCTTTCAGTAACTAAAGTGGTATTAGGGTGACTGAAAATGTTATGTTAAGAAATTTGTCTGCTGAATTGAGGGTTTGGAATCACCAGAGTTTTAGGAAGGATTCTTAATCAGGACGCCATCCATGTTGTCTTGAGTTACTTGTGGTTTTTGGTTGCTGTTAATTTATGTAACAAATAACTTTAATTTAGTATCATAAATTTAGGTCACTGTGATTCAGTATGTTGACTCTCGGTGAAATAGTAGTACATTTTATCTTCTATATCTAGCATGGGAGATGTAGTTCCCAGGCTGTCTTCATACTTGCTGTCTGCCTGAGAATACCCTTGAACTTCTGATCTTCATCATACCCACACTTCCTAAGAGCTGGAATTATAGTTTAGCATCATTGAGCTGAGTTTTATCACAATCCTGCTAGTGCTTGAACAGGCTCTCTGCTGCCTGTTAGGTAAGCATTCAGCCAACTGAGCTTTATGTCCAGCACTAGTAATATGTATGTATTTGTATAAACTGAATTTTGCTTTTAATTTTCTTGGCTTTAGTAATACTTTATAGTTGAATCATGTTGGTATCTTGGCTTTAGTAATGTATACATTATAATTTAAACATACTACCCATTTTCCCCAAATTTTTTCTTTATTATAACTGAATTCTTTTTCTTCTGGTTCTATGAGGGTGTGTGAATTAAGAAGTCTTTTACTTTATGGGGACATTGTTAGTAACAATAAAAAAAAGGTTCAGGAACTATCACATGACCCTATTAGTTTTGGTTGCTTTTGCTGGCTATATTATTAGAAAATTTGGATTAAAAGTTTTTAACATTCATGTATGTATGTATGTATGTATGTATGTATGTATGTACGTATGTATCTGTTTGTGTACACACACATGCTGATGCCATAGCACACTCTGGAGGTCAGAGAAAACTTTCAGAGTATGCTCTTTTCTTTTACCATGTGAGTTCAGAGGATTGATCTCAGGTTGCTAGGCTCTGCAACAAGTGCCTTTATCTGCTGAGTCAGAGACCTGCTGTTTCTGGCCCAAGGATTTGGGTTATTTGTTTGTTTTTTTGAGACAGGGTTTCTCTATTATGTAGCTCTCTCTGTCCTAGAACTTTGCAGGTAGATCAGGCTGGCCTCAAACTTACAGAGGTCTGCCTGCCTTTACCTCTCCAGCTTCGATTAAAGGCATGCACCAACCATGCATGGCTGAGAACTTTTGAGGCTGTGGCATAGAGACACAACCACATTTAAACACTTGGCTAAAGAGAGTCTTCTGCTCATGGAGGTCATCCTCAGTGCAGCTTGGGAAGGTCACATGGTGAGCAGTGAAGAAGAAGGAAACACCTGCCTAGCTAGCCATATCAGCCCAGTCAACCGTGGTGATCAGTGGAGTTACAGATGTCACAAGCACGTTACCCTCACATCCTAAGTACTAACATTCTGATTCTAAATCAGTTATGAATAAGAACAATAGCTCACGTTTTCATTTTCCAAATCCCATGTCTGTATTTCTACTCTTTTAGAAATTACTTTATGTACATTAGTGTTTGCCTTCATGTATGTCTGTATGATGGTGGAAGATCCCCTGGAACAGGTGTTCCACACAGTTGTGATCTCCCGTGTGGCTACTGGGAATTGAACCTAGGTCCTCTGGATGAGTAGGTAGTGCTCTCAACCACTGAGTCATCTCTCCATCTCTTCTACATCACATTTAACTAATAGTAGTCATTTCCTTATTTTGATTGATGGATCAGAGCAATTAGCATTCACTCTAATTGTATTTAATTTTTTTGTTTAAATTAAAATGCTTTGTTTTTAAATTTTTAACTTGAAAAATGACATCCATTGCCATTTAAAAAGTAGTTTTCTAGCTGGGTGTGAAGGTTCATGCCTGTAATCCCAGCACTTGGATGGTAGAGGAAGGACGATAGAGAGCTCAGGGTCCTCCTTGCCTACACAGCAAGTTCAAGGCCAGCCCAGGGTATTTGAAATCTTGTCTTAAAAACGTAGCTTTGTTGAGATATGATTCATATAACATAATTTACATGTTGTTTAAAATGTGTAACTGAATGACTTGCAGTATATTCACAGAGTTGTGCAGTAGTCACCATAGTCTAATGTAGAACTGATTTATCTTTTCCCAAAGAAACGCTCATTCTGTTAAGAGTCACTTTTCATTCTGTTTCCATGCCATTCTTACTTTGTTTTCCTCTTACTTTTTGTTTTGTTGTTCAAGGGTGTCTTTGAATTTGTTATATGTAGCCTAGGATGACTTTGAATTCCATAATCTTTTGCCTCCATCTCCTAAATGCTGGGATTTCAGGTGTGCACCACCACACCCAGCTTCCTTCTTGCGTTTTTTTAGTGGGTTTGGCTACTTTAGATATCTGGACATTTTGTGTAAACAGAGTTATACAAGAATTATTATTATTTTTTTGTTACTATGGTAATGTTCTTAAGGTTCATCAGTATGGGTGTGTATCTGTACTTCATTTCTTTTTATTGCTGAATAATACTCCATTTTATGAATATACTTTTTAGTCCATTAAATTATATTTCATTAAATTGGTGCATATTTTGACCATTTCCATTTTGTAGTTGTTATGAATGATGTCCAATGTTTTGTTTTTGTGTGGACATGTTTTTATTTCTGGAGATCAGAGCAAGCAGTTGGGGTCATTGTGTAGCTTCCCCACTGCAGCTGTAGAGTGTTCCAAATGTCCAGTGGTGTAAGGGTGATTTGGCTGTCAGCTTGACTGATAGCCCTTTTGCTGAAGGCAACTAGAGCAAGGGAGGGTCTAGCAGATGCCAATTAGGAAATCAGATTGTCCCATTCTCCAAGATTTTCACTTATTTATACAAAAATAGATATCAGAAGGATGTTTCACTTTTATCTTGGAGACAAGGTCTTTGGTAGCCTAGGCTGACCTTAAAATTGCCATATAATTGAGGCTGCCTTTGAATTCCTGATATACTCCTGCCTCTAACTCCCTTGAGTAGGAACCAAAAGAATCTATCATTAATGAGTTTTAGCAGCTTGGTAGTGTTTAACAATTTGTATCACCTGGTCAGCCAAAGGAAGTCTTGTTGTCAATTTTAATATGAAAGAAATATATGAAAGCCTTTTAATAGGTTCCAATAAAGTCTGTCCTTGGTAGTCATTGAAGGAGAAGACATTACTCATTATAGATTACATATTTTTATAATAGTAACTTCTTTAATAATAACATCTTACATTTTAGTTATGATTGAAATTATTATTGTGTGTGTATGGTTTGTGTGGGGGTACTGCGTGCCATGGAGCCTTGTGGAATCAGGGTTTTTGTGTTCCTGTGATGTATATGGGTGTGCATTCA